GTTAGGTCTCTTTTGGAGGCGTCCGGCAGCTGTTAGCAAATCCCAGGCTTCCTAGCTGACCCCTTGCTCGCCAACCTGCCCTGATAAAACTGGAAAGGCCTCCAGGCAACAGTAATCTCTCATACATAAAAAAAAAATAACATTCGGACCGTCGGTCTCCCGAGCAATTTTACACGTTCTCTGGAAGATCTTCCCTTTGTCGATAAACTTCCCTAAAAAAGGAAACCTATTTGCAGCTAACTGAAATGATGATAGGCCTTATTGTGCGCCTCTGCACGGGTAGGTACCACCTTCCTGTCTATTTCTGTCCCGAAATAATATGTATAGTAAAATTTATTATTAAATTTCGTAATCACGGTTATTAAAGAAATAATTTATCATCGCTTGTAACGCGCTTAAGTAATAAATCTTGATTGTATCGAAATAATCTCCTACTCCATAGCGTCACATATTTTTTTCAGTGTTTCATTTCAACTTATTCAAAATATGAAATAATTTCAATTCATTTTCCATCAGCGGTTCCCCAACACTATTACCAAGAGTGTTAAATATTTAAAAAAAAAAGTCTATCAGATCAGATCAGATGCCGCTAAACTTGAATTTTCAAGTTTCAATTACCTTTCAAACACCTTTCAATTAGAAAAATTTTAATGAGACTACTTTGAGGAATTGATTTGCTTACTTTATTGAAATTTATTCATACGATATATAAAGTGGAACCCTAATTAAACACGCGGGCGTGATAATGATAAAATTCTAGTTTCAAGACACGAACCGATCGAGGAAATCAATTATATTTTTATTTATCCAATAAAAATTACTACAAAGTTTCGATTTTAGTGGTTATGTTTTTTTATTGCATCAGACGTGTACACGTAAATTATAAACATTTAGCTTCTCGTCTTTTAACACATAGCCAAAATTTTCTTTATATATAAAAATGAATTGCTGTTCGTTAGTCTCGCTAAAACTCGAGAATGGCTGGATCGATTTGCCTAATTTTGTCTTGAATTATGTGTGGAAGGAAGTCCAGAGAAGATTTAAAAGGTAGATAAATATAAAAATGCTCGGAATTAAATAAATCATACCTGTAATGTTCTGTGCTGATGTATAACATGTTGGTACCCAATAAATAAAATAAAAATAAGAATTTTGTTTTTCCTTTGATGTGTCTCCCGTCGGAAGGATTCCTTTTGTTTATTTTATACAAAAGTTTAGGTCTTTTATTTATCGATTGAGGCACTACGAAGTTTGCCGGGTCAGCTAGTATTGAACATGTTTAAATTGTAGTGTTCTTAAGCATTTTGAAATTTATGGAATCTTAGTCTAAATAGCGCTTATTGAATTTATGATTAGCTATGTGCTGTATTAACTATAATGTTTTTATAGCATCGTAGTTCCTTGTCTTCAAACAGATCTTGTGAGTCATTTGGTAAAGGATGCCTTGAATTATTCTTTTTTTCAGATTGGCAATTGGCTTCTTTCGATGCTATTAGTTCCAGTTTTTCCGAATATTCATCGATATTCTTACACTTATCATCATCATAATCGGTTGCTCTTGGCAGAGCAGTCGTGGTCATGTGGAATTCTTACACTTATATAATATTGTAAATGTGAAACTGTGTTTGTTTGTCTTTCTTTCACCTCAAAACGAAGCAACGGATTGACATATTTTTTTAAAGTGATCGTTTTAAGTCAGGAGAGTGACTCGCAAAAAAGATTTTATTCCTACTGACACTATTTTGTCATTAGAAAAATTACGTGACACTTTAGAAAAAAATATAGTAATTTTTCTTTGCACACGCAAGCGAAGCCGCGGGTAACGGCGAACCCGTTTTTTTTTCTACCTAATTTAATAGCCTTGCGAGGCTATTTCAGCGGAACCTTAACTAGTAGGTGAGCTCACGGGGCTCAAACCTGACGACGTTGCTAACACGAACCCTAGCAAGAGCAGTGCTTCGCAGAATCTACCACCGGATCGGAAACGCGACCCACTGAGAAGATCCGGCGAGAAACTCAGTGGGCTGTGTCTGAGGGTTAATTTACTCGTCGAGCCCTTCTTCGCAAGCGACGGGTTCGACGAGAACGGTGACCGGTGGCGAAGCCGCGGGTAACGGCTTGTTTATTATATGTTGAAGTAATTTCTGTTATTAAAATGGCACGTATTTAAATGAAGTAATCTGATGAGATGAAATGAAATAATGTCCCATTAAAATGGTGTGAATTTATTTATTGAGATTTCAATACATTTTTCGAAAGAGCCGGACAAGCTACATCTAATGATTTAGTTTAACTTCTCCAGACCTGAGTACTTTCAGCACTACTAAATGGTTAATAAGGCACCATTATTACAAGTTTGAATCAGAAGAATGAAGAATTGAATCAGAAGAAGAATCAAACTAATTTTTTAGTATAAATATTCAACAGGAAAAATTATGTCAGTGTTTTTTATCTGTAAGCATTGATTTAAAAAATAAAAGTTCAAGTCAAGGTAAATGAGACTCACTCATTGATACCTACCCAACGAGAAACCGGTGACTCACAAAGTAAATCTCAAGTTACTATGTATTACATTTAAGTTATCCTAGGGGACCGGACATTCATTGTTCTTCAATATTGCCGCGCAAACTTTACAAATCATCTTTTTGTGTGATGTCATTTGAGGCCATATTAGATTTATTGATATTAGCTGAAAACAATATAAGAGAGATCTTGAAAATAAATATGGATGTCCGCGCAAACCTTGAAACACGATAAACAATCAACAATTGATGTCAAGAAGATTTTTCCTTCAAATTGAAAACGTAAAATTATCTCAGATATTCAGACAGGAAACCGATGACTCAATATGTTAATTACAGTTTACTATAACAATAGTATATTCGTTCACACAATGAAGATCATTATTGCCATACATATAGATTTTCTTACTAACGTCACGGTAGTTCTTGACTGGTTATCAAAATCATGAATCACGCCCACGTCAGATCCAGTTCCGCGAAACCGCAGGTAAGAATGAATTAGATAAGTAATTATATATGGAATTCATATTTATGACTACATAATTGGATTTGATATTCTAATAGAATTTTTTAAGAAATTATGTGAGTCATGACGAAAGTTCAAACTCTGGACTAACAAAATTATAGAAAATTCCGATTTTTTCTTCATAGTTTCTTCTCTTTCAATTGAAAGTGAAATCGGTATGCTTCGAACGATCATTTGATAAATTGAGCAAGTTTTTTTTAACTTTCTTCATTAAAATGTAAACTTGTCATAGAAAATTTTTAGAACAATGTGTTTTAAAGATCAGTCGAAAGTGTTTTACTAAATGCGCAAAGAGTTATTTACGTCGGCTTGTATATAAAATCGGCTATATATAATCGGCTTATACCTAGATGGAGCACGGTACAAAGGAACAATTATAATTTGGAAGGAAGGAAGGAAAAATTATAATTTGCGTAATTACTGGTGGTAGGACCTCTTGTGAGTTCCCGCGGGTGGGTACCACCACCCTGCCTATTTCTGCCGTGAAGCAGTAATGCGTTTCGGTTTGAAGGGTGGGGCAGCCGTTGTAGCTATACTTGAGACCTTAGAAGTTATATCTCAAGGTGGGTGGCGCATTTACGTCGTAAATGGCTCCAGTAACCACTTAACACCAGGTGGGCTGTGAGCTCGTCCACTCATCTAGCAATAAAAAAAAAAGAACTTAATCCGTCTTCTCGCTCCCATGAGAGTTTTCATAAATCAACAAATGGAAAATTCCACGACATTAAAAAAAAGGTTTTTGACAATTAGATTTCCGTAATTATTTTATTCGTCGAGCAAAAACATTTAATCAGAACGTACGAAATTAGTAAATATTTCCTCTATGTTCTTAAAGAAATTTAAGTGTCCACGAGAGACCAAGAGAAGAGTCCAAAAGAGTTAAAAAATTTACTGCATCAGACATTATTTAATTTGTTGTAATATTAATGACATACAAATAATCCCTAGAATAATGTCACAATTATTGTAGTTGTAATAATTATTACACGCTATAACGTTGCGTTGGACAAGGGCGTAGATTTTTTGTGATAATAATTTTAATATTTGCCATTCGTGCTGCTCTTTTAGTCTTGTTTATTTGCATCTACAATATTTTTCTTACGCATTTTCTTAATAGTCTTATCTTTGAGATGATTTTCAGCTATTTATTATCTTGACTTAAATTTGGGCAGTTACACGTGGAATGCTTATTTCAAAGTTTGATCTACGTACACACGTCAAATGCATGGAATCTTTACAACATATTATATTAAAAAGAAAGTCGCGTTTGTAAATTTCAAATTTTTCTATATATTTCATAGTAATGTTTCCTGTATTTTAGTAATTTCATAAAGAATATAAGTAAAATACTTTAATCATTTTATTTATACTTAATTTTAAACTTAATCTTACTTCAATCATTTTAATATTTTAATAATTTACAAAGCGAAGGAACCATTTCCGAATTTGAATATGTAACTCAACGATCCGCGATCGTATGAAAATTTGCGTCAATCGTTTTTTCCTTTCGAACCTTGACCAAAGATTTCAATAGGTAATGTAGGTAGGTGATACATATTATTATCTAAATTGGACAATGTATCTCAAAGTTTTCTATCTTAATTCGTAACAGTCAGTTTAAAATTGAGATAACAGCTAAGAACTAATTCTTTAAATTTTTTACTGGTGGTAGGACCTTATGTGAGTCTGCACGGGTAGGTACCACCACCCCGCCTATTTCTGCCGTGAAGCAGTAATGCGTTTCGGTTTGAAGGGTAGGGCAGCTGTTATAACTATACTTGAGACCTTAGAACTCATATCTCAAGGTGGGCGGCGCATTTGCGTTGTAAATGTCTATGGGCTCCAGTACCCACTTAACACCAGGTGGGCTGTGAGCTCGTCCACCCATTAAAGCAATAAATAAATAATAAATGTAGCTTATGTTGTATTTTAACTCTTGTGGTTTAACTTACCCAGAATTGTTATTACAACCACAAATAAAAGTCGGTAGCGCCCCATTATGTTTCAGTCAGATCCTGTCAAAGATAACGCACTATTATTTATTTTGTACTGATATAAAATTGTCCCACATAGCTCTTAATGACGTATGTACCTTAATTACGTATATCATTAACAGCAGTGAGACAGGGCAGTTCAATGGAAATATTAAAAATCAATTAATATAAATGTAATTTTGTAGATAAGAACTGTATTGAGTTATTTTTCAATCACGATTCGGGTCGACGTTTCTATTTTAAAATCGTTTTGCAATGTTAAAACATTGTAACGAATCACACACATGTTATTATGATCAAAAATAGACTTCACTTGTTTTAAACGTTCGACGCCTTGATATTTAAATGCAGGCCAATAAAAACACTTTCGAGACGAAAAACTTTCGCGATTATTTTCCCGAAAACCTGTTTCGACGCAGAACTAAAAATACCTGGGACTCGTTAGGGACTCGATTAGTCAGGCGATGCACTGCACTGTTTTAATTCACGGTAAATTTTGTTTTTGCTTTTCTAACCGCGCTCGAATGTGCCTACGCAGCGGACCGAAGCGTGCGCCACTAACCAAACCCTGCGGTATTCTGTGCGGCAAAGAGGATGTAATAGCTTGTGGAGTAGTGATACTGTGAGGATGCGTGTGCGGCTGTGTGGTGTCGCTTCGAGCAATTTGGCCAATCAACCGAGACAACGGCTGACCCTATGACACAGGAAGTCTGCTAGTAGATCGAGTCCTTACATTAGTCATTAAAAAAAATCCAATTTCAGTCTATTTCATTGATACTGTCCTGTGTATCCTGTGTCTCCTACAATACTGCGGTCGGCGGCATTTAATAACTGGTTAATCTGCATAAACATTTACATAAAACTCTTACGAAAATAAAAGTTATTAATTGACAAAGATTTGTATGTAGAGACAACTCTATTTTACTTATCGATCGAGTTTTTCAAGGATTCGCTTCCGCAAACATTCTGATGTACACATTGAACATTACTAAAATATTTAGTAATCAGCGTATAATGAAGTAATTAAAATTATAATTTATTATCAAACAGTTTTCATTATACAATACACACGTACGTATGTACGTATGTATAATTAAAATATATGTTACGTAAATGATTTACCAAGAATTAGTTAATTCAGTTAAGGTTTTAACAAATCTGTAGGTATACGATTATTAATTCGAAACGTTAAAGTTGCGTGGTGACTTTCTCGCTGGTCGTGGCACGACCTAAGCTTGATTCCTTCGTGAGTCACAAAGAGCGATTTAGTGTTCTCGCTGAATTAATGTTCGCTGCCTCCCGGTCGGAAAGTTCCAGAATGGGATAAAGTTCAGTGCCATCGTGGATTGTTTATTGTAATTTGTTGTTTTTCGTAATAATCATCTTGTAATCGATAGAAGTGTTCGTATTTTATTTTAGCATTATACTATTTAGCAATATACAATATATATGGTTGAATGACTTATGGCCTCCTTAATGTTGAGTTGGTCGAGTGGTCAAAGATTAAATAAGAATATATTTATATGATTTACCGCATTGAGACGGGTTTTGAGCCTGTACGGGTAGGTTCTACCACCCTGCCAATTCTGCAATTCTGCTCTGAAGCAATAATGCATTTTGGTTTCTAGAGCGGGACAACCGTTGTTTTTTTTTTTTTATTGCCTTTGTAGGCAGACGGGCATACGGCCCACTTGATGGTGAGTGGTTACCGTCGCCCATGGACTTCAGCAATGCCAGGGGCAGAGCCAAGCCGCTGCCTACCGCTTAATACTCTCCACAAGCCTCGTTTGAAGAAGGACATGTCACAGCGCTCGGGAAACACCGTGGACGGGAGCTCATTCCATAGCCGGATGGTACGTGGCAAAAAAGATCTCTGGAAACGCACTGTGGATGACCGCAGTGGCTCCAGGTAGTATGGATGAACTCTACTCCGGTGGCGGGCGGTGCGATGGTAAAAACGAGATGCTGGTATCATCTCGAACAATTCCTCAGAGCACTCCCCATGGAACATACGGTATAAAGTACAGAGGGAACCGAAGTCCCTCCGCAGACCCAGAGGCTCCAAACGATCCGAGATTGTACTATAGAACGACGACTTAGAAATCATGTCTCAAGATGGATGGCGAATTTGCGTTGTTGATGTCATTGGGCTCCGGTGATCGCTTAATACCAGATGGGCCGTGAGTACTCCAGCCATCAAAGTAATAAAAAAAGTGAGACTGAATTCCCAAATGTATAGTAAGGGCAGTAAAATTGTGGTGCGTAACCGGGCAGGCTTACAGTACGACCTAATAGTAGTAATAGTAGCAAATACCGGTAATTCGCAGTAGGTACGTTGGCATAATACTGATTTAGAGATGGTGATACGCTTAGTGGTTTTTTTTTGTTGCGATTATATTTTACGACACCTACAGGAAGATACAAATTGACGCTATTTCAGGCCAATACCACGTAGCAAAAAACTGTTAGCGTCACTGCGGGACATTAACCTGATAAGCTGCTGTCTATAAACAATGGTAACAGCCTGTCAATAAGTAGGCCGTGAGCTAGTGCATCTTCGTCGTATGTAATATTCGAATGTCGTATGTGTACGCGGTGGTGGTTTTCTCGTCGGATCTTCTCAGTGGGTCGCGATTCCGATCCGGTGGTAGATTCTGTGAAGCGCGGCTCTTGCTAGGGTTTGTGTTAGCAACGTCGTCAGGTTTGAGCCCCGTGAGCTCACCTACTAGTTAAGGTTACGCTGAAATAGCCTCTCAAGGCTATCAGTTTAGGTAGGAAAAAAAAAGTGATGGATTTAGGCTTGATGCAGCCCTTATTGTTAAAATAAATTTTATTATTTTTGATCCAATATTTTTTTTAAATTCAACATTGCTTTATATTTTTTTTTTGTAAAAATTTATTTGAACTAATTTTCAAAGGAGACTATTTTTACTTTTATTTGTCTCTGAAATTTTGGTATTAAAAAAATTACGCCTAGGCCCGGGCCTCACGTGTCTAGGTGTAAATCCATCACCGTGTGTACGTCATTCGTAAGTATTAATCGTCTACCCTTCATATACAAATAGAAAATTTCTTCTCGGGGGCTAATAAAATATACTAACTTCTAAGTACGAAAGTTCTTGGATTAATATGATGAGAATAAATTTTTTATTCAAGGATTATGGAAGAATCGTAACAGAAGCTTTGGGCTCGATAAGTCGAATTTAATTTAATTTATGAAAACTCTATTTACACTAGATCTATTAGATTTAAAACGAAATTATAGATCAATCAGTAATTCTTAATGACGTTCAATTACTTTTAAAGTTAGTATATGATACAATGTTTATCGCACGGTAGTCTCTTTGATAACAAATCAGCTGTGTCGGTTGCTAATCGGACGTTACACTTATCGAAAATTGCCCGATTCGTTTCGGTACACAACAATCGTCGGAAACCATAAAGGAACTGTATTGGGAGCTATAGAATAAATTAGCCGTTGCAATGTATTTTATTAGCTGGTGGTTTTTCTTTTTGGTTAGGAGGAAACCGCCGGACTTCCGTCCTCCACTGGGAATTGCGGGGGGAGCATGTCAGAGTCGAACCGACTAAAACCTCCTGTTGCTCAACAGCCAACGTCCAAACCTCGCATGAGACCGAACTCATGAAAAGGCAAACGGGGGAAAGTGAAGCGTTTAGTGCGGAGCGCATTTCTCCCATCATCCTTCCCATTAGTAGATGGTAAGTAATTTTCATAAGTATCTATCACATATTTATTAACGACGTCCACGATTAAAAATTAAAATCGTGTTGTCAAATGAAACCCGCCAAAATTATGACATCACAAACGCCTGAGGCACAGTCGCTGCTTATCGCAAACCTATAGCGTTGATTTAATTACAGATCAATTTAAATGTTATGTTTCGAAGTAAAAAATAATACGGCTTGTTGGAAAAAGTTATAGCGTCGCATGCCTCAAATGGAGGTTTGTGACTGGGCAAGTCACACTTCGGTTCTTCTGATAACCATTGTGTGCGTAACGAAGTTTCACGATTGTTCATTTATTATATAATTTATAGGTTAGAGAGAGGTGTATTTCGACTAGCTCTACGACTTTCCGTCCCCACATAAAACGCGTCCGTAAACGCACCGCGTGTACTTGGTAGACTTTAACCCATGATATACAAGCGAAGTAAACTGTCCCTTCGTAGTAAAGTGACAATTCACAAAATATGTGGACAGTGACTTATGCGGGTGCGGTTCTTTTTCTTCTTCTTTTCCCTAGCCTTTTCCCGGTCAGTGCCAAGGTCCCCTTTTCTACTTAAACTCCTCCGCTTTCCCGGGTCTTTAGCATCCTTCTGATTCGAATTCGGTTGAAGAAATTAAATTATTACAAGATCGATAGTTAGATTTCGAAATGTATTTCAACCTTTTTTGAATCATAACGATCTCAGGTGGATACAATTGGATGGGACTGTACTCTGTGGTTATGTAAGTCATTCAAAAGACATCGTACTTCTGTCATAATTCTATTGGAAATATGTAATCAAAGTTGAACAACATTGAGAATTTCATGTTAAATTTTAGTTTATTTCAACGAAATTAACTGTTAAAATGCATCACAGTTAGGTTCTGCACTTAAGCCCTAAGTTCTGTTTAAAAAAAAGCTTATAGAAAAATGTAAACAACGGGAAGTTGGAACAAAAAAATATAAAAACAAACCCAATACAAAATTATTTGTTTATGCCATTGAGTTAAACAAATTATGTGAACCTATAAACTGTTTTTTTTAATATTAATTTTCATAAAGACCCTTTCACATTATGCTCTTCAAACTGAGCAGAAGAAAGGTTAGCATGGAACACTAAATGAATAATAAAACATGGATTGCTGTTCGAAACTATGTGGAAATTCTAATAATAGAGTTGTGTTCATAGAAGATTATGCAGACCAACTAAGGAAGAAAGAAATATATTTAAAACATAAAGAAAAAGAATTAATAAAAAGAGATAAACATTTAAATAAGAAAATAAATAAACGCCGTAAATCGTATTGGGATATCAAATCAGATGTTAAGACCATAAACGATTTAAGAAAAGAAACTTTACGATTGCAGCGCCAAGCAATCAAGCTCAAAAAGCAACAATCGTCAAAGAAGAAAAATAAAGAACACGAACCGAATTTGTTACTAAAATTAATATTTGGAAAACCAAAATTAAACAAGTGTAACCTATTTAGTGATTATGAGCAATGGCAGAAGAGGCATATGCTTAGAAATCAATGCATGGCAGCCTTCAATAGGGTACTCGGTTCATCAACGGGAAATTATGGTTTTTCTCAGCCTTGTATTTGTTCAACACGAAGACCAGTTCAGAAACGCGGTAACGCTAGCGGAGATTGCTATCTCATGTCATTAAGAAAAACCCCACACGTCGGTATTTATCACCGGTGGCCACAGTTTTATCCCCACTATTTAAATGCACGAGCACAAATCGAAAATGTTAAGTGCGTCCTATTATTCATTTTGGGTATTATTATTTGGACGCCTTGTTTTATACTACTAGGTATCTGCAAGTGTTGCTATTGTTTTTGTTGTTCGGATTGCTCATAAGAGTTTACGGAAAATACTACAAAGCTTGGAACATATAATTTAATTTAATTGCACTATGATAATAGGTATATTAACTATTTATACTTACCAATATATAAATAAGCAAATGCAAAACAGTTAAGTATCATTTTCCATTATGTATTGTTTGTCAACTTTATTTTTATTTTTTTTATTGCATAGATGGGTGAACGAGCTCACAGACCACCTGGTGTTAAGTGATTACCGGAGCCCATAGACATTTACAACGTAAATGCGCCACCCACTTTGAGATATAAGTTCTAAAATCTTAGTACAGCTATAACGGCTGCCCCACCCTTCAAGCCGAAACGCATTACTGCTTCACGGCAGAAATAGGCGGGGTGGTGGTAGGTCTGCCAATGCGGACTCACAAGAGGTCCTACCACCAGAAATTACGCAAATTATAATTTTGCGAGTTTGATTTTTGTTACACGATGTTTTTATTTTATTTAAATAAAATATTATTTATTCCTTCACCTGGAAGTCAATCGTGAACATTTGTTGAATACATATTTCATTAGAAAAATTGGTACTCGCCTGCGGGATCCGAACACCGGGGCATCGCTAGATACGAATGCAGTGGAGTGGACGTCTTATCCTTTAGGCCAGGACGACTTCCAAAAGCTATTGACGAGCTTTAGTGTTATCATTTTTTTTCCCACGTCCCATCATGGTTCCATCAGATCCATTAACCTCAGCACTAGACGCCTTCAGCTCCAACACTAGGACCAGGCTTAGGGACCCCGGTAACCGAACTCGCTCGCTGAGTTTTTCGCCGGATCTTCTCAGCGGGTCACGATTCCGATCCGGTAGTAGATTCATTGGTGAAGCTCTTGAGGTGTTGGGTCTCTTTTGGAGGCGCTCGGGCAGCTGCTAGCAAATATTACCGGACCTCCTGGCTGAGCCTTTGCTCGCCCATCTGTCCTGGTAAAAGTAGAAAGGCCTTCGAGCCACCATCCTTCATATTTTTTTTTTTATCTTAAAATTGTTTTCTTAAGCAGTCAAAAATGAATCTCAAGATAGAAAAAATGTGCTGTATAAAATGAATGTAATTCTTATGTGTTAGTGACTATGGTCGAATTGTGACTAATTGACGAATATTAATATTAATAAAACGACAATATTTCTCTTCAATATAATCATTTTTGTCATTTGTCATTTTTGATAGATTTACAGAACTTTTTATTTTTATTTATTTTAGTGCATTTTTTAAGTGCATATCATTTCCAAAATGGTCTTTATTTTACGACAAAGGGTAAATTTTTTAATTTAATGGATCTACACGGGTTACGAGTTCTTAAATTTGAAAAAGGTGTATGTGAAAGTAGTAATAACTTGGAAAATGTTAAAATTGACAAAGAAAACGAAAATAAAGGAAGTGAAATACGAACAGCACTTAATAATGGAGATAAGTTGGAAAATTTTGGACAGAGAAAACTTAAGAAAACAAAAATGAAGTGTAAAAACCTTGATAAGCGCAAAATTAAAAGTGACCAAGTCAATAATTATTTTCGAAGTCAGTGTAAAGTATGATTTGCATCATGTTTGTCTTATATATTCATCACTGAAACCTCTTAAATTTAAATTTCAGGTAAAACGAAGAATAAGCGTAATAAATCATTCACTAGTCTCCATTATATGTTACAGTCTCTAGGAAATCAATTACTTTCACCAGAAATTAAAAATGAAATTGAGCACAGGAAGAAACCTAAACGAAAACAATCAAATCAACTAGCAAAGATTAAAGATTACACAAAAGACGTGAAAATCTTATTCGTCAACGAAACATCTAAATTAAAGGATAAAGCTATAAAAAGCAAGGGAAAACGTAGACATAGAGAGAAAGAAACATCAATACCAATAGGCTGTGTAGATCCAAGCGCTCTATACCCATGCGAAACTAACTTTGCCACCGAAACGAAGAAATGCAAACAAAATTTTGTAAAAACAAGAAAACGGTTCCAATTAAAAAGGCCAAATGAAACATCTAGGAATCGTCTTGATAATGCAAAATTTAATAAGCTACGACAAACGAAATCGACTTCAAGTAGCTGTAATTGTCGAAGACCTATACATTGCAATGTTATAGACTTCCCAGAATGCAATAAAATATTAAGCGGTAGAAGCAGTTACCCTTTGTACAAAAATATAGACTATCAGTGTAAAGATCAGCAAGTGTCGACTTCTTACCATTCGCCTATAATTGAGAAAAGTATTGGAGAAGCTGCGGTTGGTACAAGTCGATCTTTATGTTCTAAAAAAGTCTGTACAGGTCCTGTTTTCGTACCAAAATTTAAAAAGCCATGTAAATCCGTAAGACCTGATTCCTCACAAAAAGTACATACGAAACCACTTCCTCTTCAAATACTCGTTGAATATAACTTTCAAGATAGAGCAAAAATGGTCGCCAAATACTTTTTATTTGCGATAATGTTTGTGTTATGGTTTCCTTGCATTGTTTTGATGGCCCTGTGCTGGCTAGTAACAAATCCATTTAGGACACGTTCACAGGTTGCTGAAAAGCCTAAACTACTGAAAAAGCAACCTACATCATCGATTTTTCAAAGTATCTTATCATTATTATCGAATTGTTCAACAAAAGCAGTAGATAGATTTATTTATTCTGGTAAAATTATTGCATCACTGGTTAAAATAAATGATCAAAAAACCTGTATACAACAAAATCAAAAGAGAGCAAATAATATTTGTTCACGGCCTGTATTTACACAACGCCCCGATCCAGAGAAAATATATACACTTTTTTACGCTAAGAAGAGAGGTTGGATGGTGAAACCGGTTCGCAAAGACACAACGCAACGAAATGCGAACCATTCAAGATTTGAACAAGTTTTTTACGAATTATGTGCATGTAACGGAGCAAAGCCGTGTGGTTTTACTGAAAAATCTATTAAAAAACGTAAGGTACAAAATAAGAGTTCATTGAAGAAGCATTTAGACTGTGAATGTGGACAGGGCAATAATCTCAATAAAAAGGTTACTATACGAGAGCCACAAAATCCAACTCATTCTGAAGCGTTACAGCAATACCCGCGTTCACCTATACTGGAAAAACGTCCTTCATGTTACAATCACCAAGGAGAAAGATTTGGGAGCCAAGAATTTCAACGTTGTCCGTTATCATCGAAATATCCTCGAATGTCCAACCATCATCATAACCCCGTATTGTCTCACTCCGATCCGATAACAAATAGAAATTATCTTCATGCAAATCCCTTGCCACCGTTGAAATCTCGGAGCACACCACACACGAAACAGTGTTCAATAAGTAAGCCTTCAGTAAACTCGCATAAATTAGGTAGTGAGGGTGTTAAAAGCTGTCATATTCCATCTAGAACTGGTAAACGTTCACGCAGTAAATGTTCACATTCAAAAACCCATCTTACAAATTCAAGCTACAGAAGAAGTCCACCTCGTAATGAATTATCGTGTCATTATTTTAATCCTAGATCAGTAGGCTTAATAAAAAATTCGCCAACAAAAGAACATGAAAAGAAAGTTTCTTTTGCTCGGAAAGTTTTTAGGCGTTTTAAAACATCCCTTCATGTCATAAACGATATTGTAGAAGGTGCTGACACACAAATGTGGGCACATTTAAAGTCCGACGATATGTATGCATACACGCTGAGACGAAAGCCATGCTTTTGGATTTATCGGAGTTGTCCGTCTGCATATCCTTGTTTTTTGACGTGTCATAGTTTTTGTGGTAGTGTATGTCATACAATCTGTTATTTATTTTCGTTGATTTTATGGTGTCCTATTGTATTTTGCAGCTACATCTGTTGTCAAGTTTTTTGTAAAAGTTGTTAATTAAAAACAATTTCTGCTAGTAGAAGTGTTTTTCATTAGAAAACTAATTAATTTAATTCAATCTGCTCAAATTTTAAGATATCATTATGCTGTTCGACAATATTTCTTCCTATATACACTTCATTATACATATTATTATAGTGCTTCAGTTTTTTTTATTCTAAAAAAATATCGATCGCATCTTGTGTCCAACTTGTTCAGTCCTAAATAAATTGAATATGTATTATATATTACATTTACAATATTGTGCCTAACTACTTGTGCAATATATGGACTATAATTATATTAAAATTGTATAATTGTATTGACTGAAACCGAAGACATAAGGTAGTATATGTATTTTAAAATTTTACTAATATTTGTCGTGTCCTTCGCGAAGTAAAACAATCTAATTAATTGAATACAAGTTCTTGATCTTGAGAGAACGCGAAATTTTTTGCGAGCGATTTTCGCAGGGACATATATTTTAAACAAACAAAAATGCTAAAAAGGAAGTTTTCTTTGAACAATATACAACTAACTGAAATAAAACTTAAATATGTAGTTTGAATATATGAAAAAGGAAATAATAGTTTCAGTCATTTTCAGACAGGCTTTCTTTACAAAGGATTTGGATTTCTGTGCTTAGTTCTCTTTGCCTGTTCAATAGACAAATTAAACGAAAACGTCGGATGACATAAGTCTTCATGCTAGTGTTGCATGCAAAAATTGATTGAAATATCGATAAATCGTTTAAAAATTTTAGTTTTTTATTTTGAAAAAAGTTAACGATTTCTGATTATACTTTAATAAAAAATAAATAAACCGTAATTGTATTCAATTTCAAATAAAAGAACCTTTTTTTTTAGAAAAACAAACTTTAACCTTTCAGGTTGCTATGCATTTTACTGCTGGGGTAAGATTTTTACGACCTTATAAACATTGTTCCAATTGTATACTATTATGTCAAATGAACTCAATGAAATCAAGTAACAAATCCAATATCTGACTTTTAATTTGTTACTTAAATTTCAACCACCTACATATAAAAACAGTCTAGTGTTTACGTATTAAAAAATTGTGAGTGCTTTAGTCATCCTCATCACAAATTGGTACATCACATCACGATTTCGATGCTGTTGTTTTGATCTATCGGATTGAATATAGCATCGAAAAATTATCAGCATTATCAAATTATATCGTCGAGCACGGCTACATTTACGTTACGCACATCACTCTACGGTGGTTTAAAAATGTAATCGGATTGTTTTCATTTATGTACATGTATTCATTATTTTTATTGTTTAGTTCAGAGTGAAAACTGAATTCAGATTAATTTCCCTGCGAATATTCGTCGTGTATAAATTGCAATAAATATGCAGTTGGAAGAAAAACGCCCAAAACATGTTGATCTAGCTTCAATGGAACCTTCAGCAAGAGTTAAGCAGCTCGCAAACTACGGGACGATGGTTGACGTCGATCCTAATGTTCCACCTAGAAGGTAAGTACTTAAATAAATCAAATTCCAGTACTTCAAACCAGGATTTCAAACTATAATGAAATCAAAGTCCTCGCACATAGGTTACACCAGAAACAGGTATTTTCTGCGCAAATGTAATCGAATATGTTCAGCGAAGTGTAATTTTGTCATCCCGCTTTTCTAAAGCATGTTCCAGTGCTATGTACTAGTAACTACTACATCATTAGGTCATTTAAGTTATGTTGTTTGAAACTTTTACTGAAATAAGTACTTTAAACAAATAGTGTTTTCCGTAATTAATCAACAACCAATTATAATAATAAATTATTAATAACAACCAACCAAATTAGACTTGAAGGGTGGGGCAGCTGTTGTAACCATACTGAGACCTTAGAACTTCTATCTCAAGGTGGGTGGCGCATTTACGTTATAGATGTCTATAGACTCCAGTAACCACTTAACACCAGGTGGGCTGTGAGCTCGTCCACCCATCTAAGCAATAAAAATAAAATAAAAAATGTATTGGTTGAGGTTCAATCTATATTTATTTGTGCAGGTACTATAGATCTGGTCTTGAGATGGTAAGAATGGCTAATGTGTATCTAGCAGAAGGGAGCTTGGAGAATGCATATATTCTATATATGAAGTTCATGACACTATTCCTGGAAAAGATACGGAAACATCCAGAATACAGTAGTGTGCCTGCACAAGTGAAATCTGTCAATCAGGGTAAACTCAAAGAGGTGATGCCTAAAGCTGAGAAACTGAAACAAAAGCTCTTGGATCAGTATGCTAAAGAACATGCCCAGTATAAAGAGAATGAGGTGCGTATTGCTTTTTTATTGTTTAGTTGACTTCCACGGTGAAGGAATAACATCGTGTAATAAAAATCAAAATCGCAAAGTTATAATTTGCATAATCACTGGTGGTAGGACCTCTTAGGAGTCCGCACGGGTAGGTACCACCACCCTGCCTATTTCCGCCGTGAAGCAGTAATGCGTTTCTGCTCGAAGGGTGGGGCAGCCGTTGTAACTATACTTGAGACCTTAGAACTTACTTCCCAAGGTGGGTGGTGCATTTACGTTGTAGAAGTCTATGGGCTCCAGTAACCACTTAACACCAGGTGGGCTGTGAACTTGTCCACCCATCTAGCAACAAAAAAAAAATTATATCAGCAATCCTTATGATAAATCAATGTGTCAATTTAAGGAAAAACGACAGATTGCCGAAGCACAAAAGAAGAAACAAGAGCAGGCTGATGCGAAACTCGCTGAAAGATTACAAGCAGATGAAAATAAGAGAGATGGAAACTCAACAATCCCTCACTTATTGAATAACGTGAGTTAGCTTCTTGAAACTTTTTATATTACAACATGTTATTCTATGTAAGTCTTTCACTATTCAAAGTGAAACATTCACCAGTATACAACCATAGGCAAAAAATTTAATGGTAAATGTTACTTACAATGAATGTAGGCAACCAATGGCATTGAAATAATGATATTTCAATACATTGAAATAATGGTAGTTCAATGCCATTGAAGTAATGGCAGTTCAATGCCGTTGATTCTTTGACCTCGGTAAAAAGGACTTCTGCCTCTATAGTGGTAAATCCAAATCCTTGAATGTTAGCCTCCACTCTATATTGTTTTCAAGAAAGAAAATATGTAAATGTACCACAGTCTATATTTACTATTTGCATATAGGAGATAATAAAATAGTTAGAAAATATATTATGGATTTCACAGGAACAATGGGTAGTTTCACCGTCGGCACCAGCTGTTGATAGGGTCTTGTATCCTGATGACTTCGCAGTAGAACCTCCGCAGGCACCTCCCCATAACTACCAACCTGTGCCACCTCTTATACCACCTTCAAGGCCACATAAGTAAGATCATTTAATACTTTAAGTATTCAGTAAAATGTCAGCACTTCATTAGCTTTGTTGTGGTTGGAAACATATAGACATACATTATATCGATGCTTGAAAGGCAAACGTGACTAAGCAACAATAACTGCTTTGTACATAAATGATAGGCAATAACCATATTCGATGTGCAAAAAATATATTTCTAGGTCTATTAAAATCATTTCAATCCTACAGCTAGATTCGTTAAAATAGATTTTTTTTCAGGTATTTCTCATATTTTAAATTAATTTAAACTTTAAATTAATCTACTGTAAAGTTCACACATTGTCGCTTGGTCACTTTTGCCTTTCAAGCGTTGATATAAATATTCAACATTGACATTGAGGTAGGTTAGTATTACATACTGTATGTACATACTTAGATATTGTTTTCGATAAATGTTGATAAGATATTTTTTCATTCATTCAAGTATGATTCATTGTAAATCAGATTAATGATATTAATGACATGAAATCAATACGTTTTTGTATTGTGAGAGTTTAAGAGTTGATATCATCATTCTGCCTCTGCCTGTTTTTGAGTCGTCTTGCATTACAGTTTGAAGCTTTTCTTACATTTTTTTTTTTATACATAAGTTTCGGGTTCAAAGATATTCTATAGTGTTGGGGTTACTGTAGACTGTGGAATACACAATGAGAATGCCGCCCTCAACAATTGTATAATGGATGTCTATCTATCTATTAGCTCTGATATTCACTTAAAATCAAACAAGCTATGAATTCTACATCTGTTAAATGAACAGAAATAATGAGATTTTATATTATTTCTAGTGACAGCAGTCTTGGGGGCGCGTTGTACGGTTCTCACCGACTCCGCACCGTGGTTGTGCCCGCGGCGTTACTCGGTCGATTCTTGCGTCTCGCTGCCGATAATACCACACGAAATATAGAGACCTGTGGTATACTCGCGGGGATACTGGTAAGAGTGAATATATGTACAAAAAAAAAGTTTTATATCATAGATCCTATAGTTATTTGTAAACTAGCGACCCGCCCTCGCTTCGCTTCGGAAACATTAAAACACACATGAAACCAAAAAAAAAGTAGCCTATGTTCATCAGGGACAATGTCGGCTTCTAATGGAAAAAGAATTTTTCAAATCGGTCCAGTAGTTTCGGAGCCTATTCGAAACAAACAAACAAACAAATCTTTCCTCTTTATAATATTAGTATAGATAATATTAGTATAGATATAGATAGAAGACTAGTCTCAGAGTGATTGTTAATCAAACTTTGTTGAATGTGATTCAATCAAATAATCTAAATATCTGTTTTAAGACCGAAAATGAAATGTTGGTATGAAATAGTTGTCACCCACAGGTTTTTAATGTAACTCAACTATTACATTAAGTTTGTCGAACACTAAATCCATTACATAATCTAAATAAGTGAAGTGTTAGTAGATTGACAGTAAAATCACTAGCTATATTTTGGAGCATGTGGTATTTATTGAAATGAGGAAAAAATAGACAAAGGCCTTTCATATATATGTAACATTTGATAAAGAACTCATAAAAAGTATAGAATTTAATGTCTATTTTAAATTTTACCTGTTATTCTACATTAATATTCCCCTTTTTCATGTTGCAATCATACCCCAGTGATTGTTGCCAAATTTTAGAAATTTCGTTTTTTATGTTTTTCAAGTGAATTCTTATTATTAATTTATTGTAAAACATATTAATTTATTTGACACTAAAAAATATTATCAGAAACTTTTTGACACAGTCTATTAAGTAACCAACTTTACAACAGTGTTTTCTTAGTGTTTCCTCAATATTTGAAATTGTTAAACCTTGCCTCGAGAAAAAAAGGTTGAGAATCATTGATATAGCAAAATATATTAACGTTCTTTTGGTATATTGTTTCATTAGGAACGGAACCAGTTGAAGATCACACACGTTATAGTTCCGAAGCAATCCGGTACCCCGGACTCCTGTAGCACCAACAATGAAGAGGAGATATTTCACTACCAGGACCAACACAACCTCATCACACTAGGATGGATACATGTACGTGTTTAGTAATAAGTTACATACATGAATACTATATCTACACCAGTAATTAAGTCTGAAGCGAATCGTATTATCCAAAATGTAAGTTAGAGATTTACTATTGTCGATTTGTTATGCCCTAGAACAGAGGTCGACAAAGTGCGGCTCTTTGAACTCTTTAAGTGTGGCTCTGGCCCGGCCTCTAATATTATCCGACTGTGAACGGAAAAGCCGTTTAATAGTAGATTTTTTTTTATTGCTTAGATGGGTGGACGAGCTCACAGCCCACCTGGTGTTGAGTGGTTACTGGAGCCAATAGACATCTACGACGTAAATGCGCCACCCACCTTGAGATATAAGTTCTAAGGTCTCAAGTATAGTTACAACGGCTGCCTCACCCTTCAAACCGAAACGCATTAACTGCTTCACGGCAGAAATAGGCAGGGTGGTGGTGGTACCTACCCGCGCGGACTCACAAGAGGTCCTACCACCAGTAATTACGCAAATTATAATTTTGCGGGTTTGATTTTTATTACACGATGTTATTCCTTCACCGTGGAAGTCAATGGTGAACATTTGTTGAGTACGTATTTCATTAGAAAAATTGGTACCGGCCTGGGATTCGAACACCGGTACATCGCTCAACACGAATGCACTGGACGTCTTATCCCTTAGGCCACGTCGGCTCATAAGGTACGGTCATTTAATATCAGCACCCTTGACTGATGTCGATTATTATATTATTATATATTAATCGAAGCAGTATACAATATAGCATTTATTTTATGATTTACAATAATGAATGCTACATTTACAAACAGATTTGGCTCTCCATTTTTTTTAATCCGTTTTAAACTGCATATTTTGGTGTTTGGCTAATAAGCTTGCCGACCACTGCCCTAGAATTATCACTTCTAGGCAACCGGAGAGTAACTATGACATATAAAAAGTATATTTGTTTACAAAGATAATATAGATAGTGCTAACAAACGAAATAAGAAGCGTAAAATATTTGTTGTTAGGCAAATATTGTACGGAAGACTTCATTAGCACCGTTGAAACTCGAAATGAAAAAGCGATGCTAAAAAGAGACAAACGTATACACCTATAGGATATAACTTGCGAGAGAATGAGATAGAATATTTCTGAAAGTTTCACTTCTACAGCAAGTGTGAATTATACATAATTGATCTAAATGAAACCGAGACAAGGGAAACCGTTTGTGTTTTTTTTTTAATTTTGACGTTGTGATTGATTTGTCCAAATGACCAAATGTGTAACATTAAACATTAATAAATCATATCGTATCTTATCCTATATCTTTAAACGAGCAATTAATGTATATTAATATATAATCTGAACCTTGGAAACGGCTCCAACGATTTTCATAAAATTTAGTATACAGGAGATTTTGGGGGCGATAAATCGATGTAGCTACGATTTATTTTCAGAAAATGTTGTTTTATTCGTGTTTTCAAATTCAAATTCAAATTCAAAATAATTTATTTCAACTTGGATGTCATCAAAAACACACTTGTTGAATGTCAAAATCTAAAAGAAAATTTTAACTCTACCACCGGTTACAAAAAAAGCCACAGTCCTGAGAAGAACCGGCGAAACAAACTCAGCGGCCTTTTTTTGTTTTTTGGATTTTCTCAAATATTTTCTTTTTTTTTTTTTAAATAAGAAAACATATTTACAGTATACGAAAAAACAAGTCAAAAAATACAATTTAAATAAATAATAATAATAATGAAAAATGAAAAGGCCAGGAGCCTCATTCACGCCTCATTCCCACGTAGTGCCATCTAGTAAAAAATCCTTAACTTTATAATATGCCTTGTTGCACAAACGTTCCTTGACAGTTTTCTTAAATCTATGAACAGGTAGTAGTTGAACGTTTTGTGGGATCTTGTTGAAAAGTTGTACACCCAGCCCCCTGAAAGAGTTGCTTATTTTCTTAATTCGAGCCGCCGGCAACGCAAGCCTATGTTTGTTCCTAGTGTTCACATTATGCAAATCGCAGACTCTGGGGAATTCTACAATGTTTTTACGCACGTACAATAAATTTTCAAAAATGTATTGGGACGCTAAAGTTAGAATTTTGATTTCCTTAAACTTGTCCCTCAAGGATTCTCTCGGGTGCATATTATAAATAGCACGAATAGCGCTCTTCTGCAGGATGAAAATCGTTTCGACATCGGCAGCATTGCCCCATAGCAAAATGCCATAGGACATAACACTATGAAAATAACTGAAATAAACTAGACGTGCCGTATCTTCATCAGTATACGTTCGTATTTTTTTACCGCAAACGCTGCAGAACTAAGTCTATTCGCTAACTTGCATATGTGAGGACCCCACTGCTTTTAATAATCAACTCTTCCCGACATCTATTGGCGAATAATAATACAATTTTTCTTAATTGAGGGCAACTAACCGCTTTAAAGAAGCAACAAGATGGCGTTTTAAAAAAAAAAAAAAACGAGCAAAGCTCATCATCTAGTAATATTTAAAACAAATACTTCGACTAGAATTATAATAAAAACAAACTCGCTTTGCAGTAAATTACACGATGCAGTGTTTTTTTGGGTTTTCGTAGTCGACTCGTAGACATTCTTAAAACTACTTTTACGATTTTTACGGTCTTGCGTTTTTTATAACATATTAAATTGTTATACGTTGTTAAATGAATATTATGAAAACTGCCGTACATAAAAAAAAATAAAAAAAACCGTTTCATTTCACGCAAAACGAACTTAACAGTATTTTGAGATCTGGTGGTTTGTTTGGTTTTGGTTTTTCATATCTGCACGATAATAGTATTGATATTATCGAAGGGTGAAAGTTGCGATGTTTTTAATTGAAATTCAATTAAGTTTAATCCATTTAAATAGTTGGAGAAGTTTTTTTTCGTTATGATATTTTTTCCAAATTATTAATTTGGAATGGTTCTCCTGTTTCTCTCTCTCTCTCTCTCTCTCTCTCTTCAATCGGTCCCTCATTGGTGAGGATCGTTGATTCCGTCATCTAGCGATCTCCATCGATTCCATTCTGTAGCTTGGTAGAGTGAGTTGCTAACTGGTATTTTTAGTTTCTCCGCTATTCAGTCTGATCATCGTTTGGGACCTCCTTTTTTTATTTATAGCTTAGATATGTGGACGAGCCCACAGCCACCTGGTGTTAAGTGGTTACTGGAGCCCATAGACATCTACGACGTAAATGCGCCACCCACCTTGAGATATAAGTTCTAAGGTCTCAGTATAATTACAACGGCTGCCCCGCCCTTCAAACCGAAACGCATTACTGCTTTGCGGCAAAAATAGGCGGGGTGGTGGTATCTACCCGTGCGGACTCACAAGAGGTCCTACCTATATATGACGTATTTCCGGCAGACGCATCCGACGCAGACCGCGTTCCTGTCGTCGGTGGACCTGCACACGCAGTGCTCGTACCAGCTGATGATGGCCGAAGCGATCGCGATCGTTTGCGCGCCCAAATACAACGAGTAAGCGGAGACGTAACAGTACATACAGTAATAGTGTCTAGTGTTATAGCATTCCACTAGCGGACGAGCTAGGCAAAGGGAATCTAAGCCATCACTATCTTGCCTATTTCGGCTTTCGGTGTTCCTCTTTTCCGGCTCCGATTGTCGTATGAATTTATAAATTCTTCAAACTGCTAATTATAAAATTCAAGCATTGTTTAAGAATGCTTCTGCTGGAAGAGGAAACAGTCAAACGAAAATAAATAAAAATATCAATTTAAATAATGATATTGTAATAATGTACGTGAAAATTTTATTCAGATAACAATATTATTCGATACCAGTTTATAAAGAAAATATAAACTGTACATACTTCTCAGAATTCGAATAATAATTCAAATGAAATTTGAATTGTGTCGTTTTGGACGTCTTTGCCTTTTCGAAATCACCCTGACTAATATGAAGGAAAATTTTAGTTTTAGTTTTTTTTTTATTGCCTAGATGTGTGGACGAGCTCACAGCCCACCTGGTGTTAAGTGGTTACTGGAACCCATAGACATCTACAACGTAAATGCGCCACACACCTTGAGATATAAGTTCTAAGGTCTCAGTATAGTCACAACGGCTGCCCCACCTTTCAAGCCGAAAAGCATTACTGCTTCACGGCAGAAATAGGCAGGCCGGTGGTACCTACCCATGCGAACTCACAAGACGTCCTACTACTAGTTATGACGCAAATTATAATTTTGCGGGTTTGGTTTTTATTACACGCTGTTATTCCTTCACCGTGGAAGTCAATCGTGAACATTTGTTAAGTACGTATTTAATTAGAAAAATTTGTACCCGCCAGCGGGATTCGAACACCGCTGCATCGCTACATACGAATGCACCGGACGTCTTATCCTTTAGGCCACGACGACTTCATACGTTTAAGTGTTAAGATAGCTTAATTTTAAAATTAGATTTTATTAATTTGGCTGCTACCATTTTCCTGCTTATGTATGTCGATAGACATTTGAAGTCCTTTGAAGAGTAGGTCAGCTTCGTGTGTATGGCAGTGAATGTTAATCTCGTCTATGGGTTTAGTAGTAACAGAACCAATAATACAATGTAAATATATTTGATCCTTAGAACTGGCTACTTCGCCTTAACACCGGACTACGGTATGCAGTTCATAGCAAACTGTAGACAAAGCGGCTTCCACCCGCACCCCAATGACCCGCCTCTGTTTCACGTGAGTATACCTAGAAAAATATTATAAAAATAAATTCGAACTAAAATCGTTTGGAAAGAGTAAATAAAATATCTGAAATTTTGTGAAGTTAAGATGAACCTATAATAAAATTAATACCATATAATACCATGATGTTAAGTAATTATTGGAGCCCATAGACATCTACAACGTAAATGCCGCCACCCACCCTGAGACATGAGTTGTAAGTTCTCACTCTTAACAGTACAACGGCTGCCCCACCCTTCAAACCGAAATGCATTACTGCGTCACGGCAGAAATAGGCAGGGTGGTGGTACCAACCCGTGCGGACTCACAAGAGGTCCTTCCATCATTAATTACGCAAATTATAATTTTGCGGGTTTGATTTTTGTTACACGATGTTTCCTTCACTGTGGAAGTTAATCGTGAACAATTGTTAAGTACGTATTTCATTGAAAAAATTAGTACCCGCCTGCGGGATTCGAACTCTGGTACATCGCTACATACGAATTCACCGGACGTCTTATCCTTTAGGCCACGACGACTTCATTGTTAATTGTGGCATATTAAACGCTTAGCATCTGTGAATGTGCAGAGTGCGAAAATGAAACTAAAGTCGCTGGAAGTGGCTTCTCGAATTCTACCAAAAAGCTCAGTGAAGTTCTCAGTAAATTCCCTTGATTTTACAAAAAACTTTATTTTATTAGCTCTCATTTTATATCGTTTTACAATTTAAAATAATGCAACATTTGTATGTATGTAATATATGTATATATATTACATATATGTATGTAAAATGTAAAATAGCAATAGAAGAAAAGAAATTAAAACTCGTTACTGGCAACAATGTCATCGAAAGAAGCTAATATTGTGTTTCTGTTGTGGAGAAAAATATAAGAATTTATAGTGGAAATGAGTAGGAGAATTTTTTAAATATTAGTATATTTATATTTGCATATTTCAATTTCAGAATGTATCACATATAAACGTAGACGACGCAGCTCCTATAGAAATGGTCGATCTCAGGAGATGAACATTCTAGAACTTTAATTTGTATTTAGACACCGCTTAAAGCAAATAGTTATTGTTTTATTTATCACACGTTGCATTTTTTTCTGTTGCATATTATTTAACATATTTTTAATATATTAAACGTTTTAGTAAATAAAAGAGTTTTTATTAAAAGCTATGTAATGCTACAGTTAATTCATATTTTAAGTCATCATTGAATATGGAGAGTTTCCATTAGTAGTTTGTATGAGTTTAGAATCGAAAATTTCGTTCTTTCCGTGTAACTTAAACACAATTATATTTTTATTTATTGTCCCCACAAACATCCAAATCAAACACTTATATATTTAATTAAATGGACAGACAAACTAATGATCCTTCTCTTTCGGTAAGGTAGACCAGCTGTGCGGAGTTACAATTAGGGTACCTGCCCTCTAGGAAGGTTTTGGAAGGAAAAGATAATTTGGATCAAACTTATACTACCGATATGTTATAGAGGTGTGGCAGCATTTAAAGGTGGCCGAAATTGCGTACTTATGTGATAGATAAATTATTATTAAAGTGTGAGTTCCTTTGACTGTAAAAACTAAAATAAAAAATACCGCAATTAATCTAAGAACGACCACCAGTAGGCACCCGATGATAGATAATCTATAGCATTGATCATGGATAGGAACAACCCGCTTTAGAAGCAGGGCAAGAGCTTATGTATTAATTATATTAATTAATATAAATAAGCCTTCAATTTGGAAAAAAAAAATCCGACCTAATATAATTTAAATTTGGTTGAGTTATAAATGTGCACGATTTCATAAAAATACATTTGAGTGGATTTGCCCTTGTAGGCAAACGAGCATACGGCCCACCTGATGGTGAGTGGATATCGTTGCCCATGGACTTCAGCAATACCAGGGGCAGAGCCAAGCCGCTGCCTACCGCTTAATACCTACTCTCCACAAGCCTCGTTTGAAGAAGGACATGAGGTTGAAGTTTGACACGTTATTGCGATTTTGTATTCAAATATACAATTAAGTGTTTGCACATTGTGAACATTTAACAAAAAGACTGATATTTAACGATTATGACGGATAGAATTTTATATGAACAAGTTTTCGCTCGAATTTTGAAATTAGCGTTTAAAATCGATTCTAACCTCAAAAAGCTTAATTCGATAATCGATAATCATTTTGGTGTATTTGTTCTCAATTACAACGACGTATGTTTCATTTTAACATGAAATAAAGTACACAGTAATTGTTATATCATCCACAACATTATTTGGGTAAGCCTATATCACATTCCACGCGATTGATTGTATTACACGAATAATCCTACTAATATTATAACATAAGTGCCACATACAATATTAGTTTTAAATGTTATCAATATACCTAGTAGGTATGTATTTGTTTCGATTTCCCGAGCGCTAAAGCGAAGGTAAAATTAGTTATGTTTCAAATAGGTTGATGTGCAATATTTATCACCGGGCACTGAATGTTTGTGTGGGCTGAACGTTTCTAAAATGTTTTTTTTTTTAAGTAAACCTCGCATACCTATCTGCCAAAAGTTTTTGTAGCACATTTAGTTGTGTGTGCAATATTATTGTATTATTCCTTGTTATTTTGTGACCAAATGAATAAGGACCAATTGAATAAAAAAAACTGATATTAAATTATAATTGTTTTATTTAGTATTTAAAGCTACAATGATATGATATAAGTTACAGGATTTAATGAATACCGCTTGGCAGTTTAACCATTTTTAGCATTGCATTACATTCACAAAGATGCTATTATATTTAAAAACATTTAAAGTACCTACACATTAAAATAAATATTATAAAGAAGTGGCTGGGCTATATAAATGATGACGTATCACTTAATAAATTAAATGAAAATGAAACGCAACATTCTTTTATATTAATATCGAAACCGATGCCATAGTTGACTTATAAATTCAATGTGGTGTTTGAAGAAAATAAGACTCAAACTGCACATAAAATACAAATCTAAACTAGCCTATTAGGTCTAATAGCGCATAAATAAGTTGCCAAAAGGCAGAATGAAAATAGTTTATTTTTTCTTAACGTACCTACTTAAAATTAAGCGTTTACAAGTTTAGGAATATACCTATGTTAAGCTGATTTGATATGGCGTGCAAGAAATGATTTAGAAAATGATCGAACCCTCGTATTTAACATCGCATTGCATTCCTACATTACATTCGTTATTAAAGAACTAATTGCTCATAGTATTTATCTATGGCAAAACCAACAATGTTTTTTTTATACGACGCCCTCAAAATGACCGAATGAAGTACACTTTCGAAGAATCGACGAATAGTATCACCTTCTAGCCTTTAGTTCTTAATGATATTTTTAATTGGTTTGACTTATACAATATTTTTAACATTTTTAGTACTATAGTAAACTTATGTTTCTAACAGCTGTAATTGCGTGGAACCTAATTATTGAATCAGTTAAATTACTAACTACGGTTATAATACTTATAGGTAACGTTGATTCACATTTTTTTTATATATTTTATTTACGAATTATGCTGTGCATCAGTTTTTTTGTTTGTTTTAGTGATAGTTTACAGGCCGACACTAAAGGTGACTAAGGGTACATACAGCATAACAAAAACAGGAACACATAAACTAAAAAATTTTTTTTTGTAACGTTTCACTAACTACTTTTTTCACTAATTCCAGCGTAATCCTAGGAATAATATTAAAAAAAAATTTAGTCGAAAACTATTAGCAAAAAATAATATTAAACTACTTAATAAAGGGCAAAAGAACAAGCGGTCCGGCCGTGTCGCTAAATATGATTTTTTCCTGGCAACTTTGTACGATGAGAACTTAGTTCGTATGAAGATGTGTTTTACTAATCTACAAAACTATGAGTAGCTAATATAGTACCTATTATGTGTACAACAAAAATGGACTCAAATAATTACGTACAGTAAAAGCGCCTTATACCCGCTTCCTTCATTCACATTTTTACTATTCGCGGATCTAATCGGTACATCGGTACATACACATTGATAAAAAGGACTCCAAAATGTAGCTTTGTAAACGCGTCCTCGTTAATCAAGTTGGTCAAAAACTTCAAATAAATTCAATTATTACATATGTATTTATTTTTTATTTTATCTCCTAAGAACCCATTCCCTATAATCCGAAATATGGAAATTATCATTTCATATTCACATTTTTTGTATTCGCGGCATATTTACGGAACATATACCCAGCGAATAAAGAGCTTTTACTGTCTATAAAATACTATACACGAAGAACTCTGCTATAAAATTCTCCAATACGGGAAAACAAAACGAGCTCACAGCCCACCTGGTGTTAAGTGGTTACTGGAGCCCATAGACATCCACAACGTAAATGCGCCACCCACCTTGAGATATAAGTTCTAAGGTCTCAGTATAGTTACAACGGCTGCCCCATCCTTCAAACCGAAACGCATTACTGCTTCACGGCAGAAATAGGCGGGGCGGTGGTACCTACCCGCGCGGACTCACAAGAGGTCCTACCACCAGTAATTACGCAAATTATAATTTTGCGGGTTTCATTTTTATTACACGATGTTTTTCCTTCACCGTGGAAGTCAATTGTGAACATTTGTTGAGTACGTATTTCATTAGAAAAATTGGTACCCGCCTAAAATTCGAACACCGGTGCATCGCTCAACACGAATGCACCGGACGTCTTATCCGTTAGGCCACGACGACTTCTTTTTTGGTGCCCCGGGTGAGCTTCGATCGATTAAGGCAGCAGTCGTCGTATAGTAAAGAGAACAAAATAATTATGTTGTCTTGCAACCAAGAAACGGTTTGTCAATTTTGAGACGTGCTGAATTAAAGCTAGATCTATGTTTCAAATGTTTGTAATCGTGATAGTTTTTACTGTCAAAGGATTCGAACCACGCTACAGATCATCATCACTCGTTACGTGTTAGTACGCTTAAACGTTAGGTAGTCATACCTATTAAGCCACGATTATTCAATCACATAGTATTTATTACATTATAATGATTATAATTTACAAATAAATGGAATATTAAAAGCACTTTTTAGCCTACCTATCCTAGTAACCTCGAGGGGTTAGGCTAAGTTTGCCAAGTGTGTAGACGAGCTCACAGAGCTTAGCCTGATGAAACTTAAAAGCACATTTCTATGGTAAGAAATATGAAAACGTGTTAAATTTCTAAAATCCTTAATTAAAAAGCAATTTTACAGACTACACATGAATAAGGCACTCGGTGCTCCGTCGAAATAATCTTAAATATTTAGCGAAAAACACAATTTATGATTACCAAACATATACATACAATTAAGAATTACATACTAAGATACAGGTGACCAGCTTCGCTATAGAAGTACAGTCAAACCTGGATAAGCGAGAGTTCAAGGGAGCACAATCTCATTCTCGCTTATAGAGGTTTCTCACTAACCCGAGTTTCTCACTAATGCTCTTTCTGAATTTCATTTCGCGATTTTCCGGATTCAAACGCATTCACTATTCACTTAATGACAGTACTTTAATTTTCCGTTTTGACATGATGCAGAACAGAACTTTCCTTCGCAATTGATTAACGATAAACTAAGTAAGTCCGGCAAACAGGACGGTACAGAGGCACACGTGTCCATTCGGAAAGAATGCGTTAAAATAACAACGGTATTTAGTTCCACGAAATAGAATAGGATCAATATTGACGAGAAAACAATTCAAAAACAATAGAAGGAAGTTCCACAAAAGTTAAGAATGAGTCATAAAATAGTAGATGTTAAATTTGTAATTTGTTTTTTCATTTGTTCCTCCTAAATAATATCAATATAAATAAATAAAGCTCGACTGTCGCTTGTAGAGGTATAGATAACTAGCAGTCTCACTTACGAAGGTCCATGAGAGAAAAACGACTCTCTCTTACAGAGGTTTCTGTTTCTCTCTAATAGAGGTTTTGGGAGCTTAAAATGACGGGTCCTGGCTATTACTCTCACTTATAGAGTTTTCTCACTTATCCAGTTCTCGCTTATCTAGGTTTGACTGTAGTTAGTTACTAGTGGTAGAGCGTATTGCAATGCCGCACGGGTGGGTACCACAATCCAGCCTATTTCTGTTGCGAAGCGGGTATGCGATCCGGTCTGAAGGGTGAGGGTAGCTATTATATAATAAGGTACATTTTTTATATCACTAATTAATTATTACATAATTGTGAGAACCAACCACAATGCTTAATTCCATAATGCGACTAATTGGTCTATTTTGGGGCATAATTTGGGGTTACCTATATTGTCGTTTATTTCAGACCCAATGACGTCACATAAAATGAATTAGCCTTCTTTCGAACTCTGTACAGCGGAATATTTGATATTTGGAATTGAATTGAAATAGGAGACGGAATATCTATGATGCTTAAATGCAAAATGAATTTTGCCTTTAAATGTCTAATAATATTTTTTTCGGTTGCATCTAAAAACTTAAGGGTATGAAATGACAAAGGTTTTTTCAATTGATAATACAGAGAATTAACCAATAACACACGGTAATAAGTAAAATCTATGAAAGGAAATATCGACATTAAAGAAAAATGCCGGTGGTCACAACTTTATAAATTGTGTTCGATTCTAGAATGTTATATCTGTGCGATCATTTAAAAGAAACCGTTACTGCCTAAACGTCGAACATTAAAGAAATAAATGAAAAAATTCAACTCAAATTTGTGTAAATTATAACTAGACAAAAACTAATTGAATCGACTTCAGGTATTTGTTGCACAAGACATTGGTACTAAAATAGCATTTATTTTTGAAACCATACTTAAACAGATGAGCTTCTGGTCCGGCTGGTATCAAAAGGTCACCGGACGTCATAGACTATTCCACCGCCCACATACGAGGCAAACGTCTCGATTGTATTATATCACTATGAATATATACTTGACCCCATACAGAAGAGAGCCCTTCGGATTGTCGATAATCCCATTCTCACGGATCGTTTGGAACCTCTGACTCTGCAGAGGGACTTCGGTTCCCTCTGTATTTTGTACCGTATGTTCCATGGGGAGCGCTCTGAGGAATTGTTTGAGATGATTCCATCATCCGCCATCGGAGTAGAGTTCATCTATATTACCTGGAGCAACTTCGTTCATCAACAATGCATTTCCAGCGATCAGCCACGTACCACCTGGCTTTGGAATGAGCTCCCCTGCACGGTGTTCCCTGAGCGCTATGTCCGCTATGTCCGACGACATGTCCTTGTTCAAGCCAGGCTTGTGGAAAGTACTTAACGATAGGCAGCGGCTTGGCTCTGCCCCTGGCATTGCTGACCTCCACGGGCGACGGTAACCATTTATCATCAGGTGACAAGTGGGCCGTAAAGAGAAAAGACAGGACAGTGATTTAGCTGTACCTCTAGAATTGATGATGTCTACGGACCGTGATCTCTATATCAGGTGGTCAATCCTAAAAAGTAACTATAATAATAATAATAATAAGCCCATTTTATTTCCCAAACACAAATAGAAAAAAGAAAAAAAAAGAAAAAACACCTTATCAAATAAAAATTACAAAATTAAATATAAATTTGTGCTTGAAACCCCATTCGGGTATAGGCCTCCTCCAGCTTGCTCCACTCTTCCCTATCCTTGGCTTTGCTTCTCCATTCTTTTCCAGTTGCTGCTGTTATTTCGTCGATCCATCTGCTTCTTGGTCGTCCTCTTCTTCTTTTGCCCGCTGGTCCTTCCCATGTTGTAATTTCTAATGTCCATCTTTTATCCGTATATCTCGCAAGATGTCCTGCCCAGCGCCACTTTTGTGTCAGAGCGTACCTGAGAGCATCTATCAGCTTTGTTTTTTCTCTAANTGTATCGATCTGTGATACCAAGTTTTCAGTACTATAGCACCTCTCAACAGATGGCGCTGAATTCAAATGAGACTAGTGACTTTGCTTATTTGATTATGTTTTAGATTATGATATTCTAAGAATATAGCACTTAACTTTAATTCTTCTGTAAGTATATTCTTCCACTAGTTCCTCATTTAAATTATTTTTAAATTTTTCTTGATTTGTAAGTTTCTTGCAGTGCAAAGTAACCGCTTTGCCACCGAGCACTTGGTTGCATTTAGAACCTTGTTTAGCGAATTTACTGTAACGTTTTGTATTTTTCACATAGTTTCTGAACTGATTTAAGCATTTACGTTCACTTCACAATGTTTTACACACTATTTCTGCAGTAATTTATTTTTAAAAACAGATCGAACTTCTGTAGATGTTAACAAGGCGACGTCTACCCTCTAAAAAGTAACTATTCTATCCTTCAAACCAGATCGCACGATTACGCAACAGTAAGAATATCTAAATAAAATACCTTACATTCTCTAAGTTATTATTAGTCGATTAATATTATATTCGCAATTTATTCGTTTATAATTAATTATTTTTAAAATATAAGTTCTACTGCTATGACATTTAATAGATATACTTTAAGTTATATAATTATTATTGCTTTAATGCACTCCGGGACATTTTTGTGTTCAAAGCGTCAAACTTCAAAACACTATTTATATTTGGACTGCGAATAATGATCCCTTTGCTAGATTTTCCCTACACGTTTCTTCAAACTTTAACGAAAACAGTATTATAATCGATATATCTATTCTATTCACATTCTAATTCTGCAAGGATGTCGAACGTGAATATTTAATTGATCAACTACGCCTAAAAAGCTTGTTTGACTAAATCGATGAGTATTTAGCTGAACAACGTGAGTGATATAAAGGAAATTAGAGCTACGATTTCTCGAATGCCTGCAATATGCACGGCTGAGTTCATTTGCGCCTTCTTAGCCTTGGAAGGAAGCTCGTATGGTGCCGTCTTGTTCATCATCCAGTAGTACACGTCGGTTAGACCCTGAGACATCAACTCTGGTCCAACTATCTTCCTTATACGGTCGTTATAACCGTTCAACCATGTGATCTTCAAATACAACAAATCAATTTTAATTTTATTAATTTTTGCACAAAAGAAGCACGTTATAAACTATATTAAGCTATCAATAAATAGTGTTCAGGATGTCTACTGATTAAATTTATGAGTATTTTTACAGTATTGAAAATAAGGAATGACAGGAACTATTATATAAGAAGTAGAATAGGATTATATCAGATAGAAAGATAAGAACCGGTAGGAAGTAATTATGTCAAGTAGTAAACTTGGCCGATATTTTTTTCTGTTTTATAGCTGGTATTGCTTATCTTTCACCTAGTTTGAGACATGAATTCTAATGTCAGTTTTAGAACGGTAGCTATGTACCAATCAAAACGAAATGCCTTACGTTGCTTTAATTCAATTCTTTTTCGAAAAATGAAAGGTATTTTACATATTACAGGCTTACCTCGTATTCAGTCAGCATGGTCTTGTCGATGAGTTTAGGTTCATAAGGTAGCAAAGTAGCCTCTCTGAATCCTAGATACTCATTAGGTTTGCCGATCACCTCCACAACATTCCCTAACCGAATACCGAACTTTCCGGGTTCGTACCAACCAGGTTCTGTGAACAAGAAAAATCTGTGTACAGATTTTGTATGGTATCAGTAGTTATAAATATTTTATGAACCGATATGAGTAGAAGGGTTATTTTGATAATATCCTGAAAAGCACTCCACGCTTTTTTACAATAAAATAATTTTTTCTTATACTATTTTTAATTCAAATTTATTAAAATTTATTTTCTATTTTTTAGTTGGATTCTCTATAAAAACGTATTTTGTTAGTTTTTTTAAACTATTATTTATTTTTTATTTTTTAGGTGTATTACCATCGATATATTACTATAATGTAATTATATAGTGTAAGTGGTAATATATCGATGTGAATTACAATTAAAAAAAAATATATATTAATATTTTTTTTTAATATTGAGTTGTCAGCGGCCATAAGTATACCAAATTTCGAGTTAATCCGACGTTTTGAAGGCGTTTAAAGATTCCGTTACAAACATACATACGTCTGAAGCTAATAAAAGCGTATTAAATAGTTTCTATTTCAACCTTCTGACGAGTGTCACTTCATTAATGTTTTCTCTAGATTGTGAAACAAATCGGCCATGGCTTAGGCTGAGCATTGTCTGTAAATCAAATAAATACCTTCCGCTATCTTCTTCCGTTTGTGTGAGACGTAGATATAGTTACTAAACTGAAATTACTAAATCTTAATTTAGTTCTAATCACATCAAGTACCCATTTTATAGATGAATATTGAACCAAGACATAGGTGAAATTGTATAAAAATAATTAATAAAACGACTCATCTGATTCCTGATTACGAATTAAGCTCCAGACCGCAACCAGCACGAAGAACCAGTGAGAAATGTTGAAATTCATCAATACAATATGAGAACTTACCGCACGTGATAAAATAGCCTTCTCTCAGTGTGTGCAAGTTTGTATCTTGACGGTAATCGATTACAACGGGATCTGAAACAAATAAATTTGAATCCTAACTCTCGGTCGTACAAGGAATTTTCAAAATAACGTTCAGACCAAAGTGGCATACCTATATTTTTTTTACCCTTGAAATACAGCCTACCTGATCGTTAGAGAAATGTTTGAGAGGTTACTGTCGCTCATGGACGTCAGCAATGCCAGAGACAGAGACAGAGTCAAGGCGCTGCCTACCGTTAATTTTTATTTAAAGTAGTAAAATTTGAAACTATTAGAACTATTTGACTCGGATTTCGAGTTGAAGCTTTTAGAGCAGATCAATGACACGCGGGCCTCTGGTTCGTTTCAGTCGCGCAGGTGGAAATTGCGTGGGGTTCAAGAACAAACCAGTAGTAAACATCCAGCAGTTTATTGATGGTAATCAAGCGGACAGACAGTACAATAATATTAAATAGGAACTTAAAGTACAGCGTGTAGACCGTGTGACAGCATCGAGAAAAAAGGGAAGAGCGAACCATAGACACCTGCGTTTATACACAATACAGGGCATTCAATATCAAGCCAAGATTTAATGCATACCTATTCAATAACATTCTTAATAGAAGCTATACATTAAAGGCTTTGTGACCTTCTCTCCGGTTAAGTGCAGCTCCGACGCCGTGACCGGTGGGATGGGGGTAGTCCTGATCTGCGGCCCAGAGCGGCGCGCGGGCCACGGGGTCGGCGTGCGCGGCGGGCAGCATGCTGGGCGCGGTGAAGGCGGACAACGCGGCCACCGCCCGCAGCACGGTCGTGTACGCGCGTCGCTCCTCGCGGCTCGGCGTGCCGTAATGCACCGTGCGGGTCACTACTGTCGTTCCCTCTGTTAAAACGTTCCAAATATTTATTTATAAATCCACTGTTTTGGGTCAGAGAGAAACTCGGTACGTTAATCGTCACTAAAACTTTCTTCATCGCAATAGAATCAAACAGGTTTGTTTTTTTTCCTTCCTATGCTGATAGCCTTGTGAGGCTATATCAGCTTCGCCCTAACATGTAGGTGAGCTCACAGGGCTCAAACCGGAGTGGTGCTAACACTGACCCTAGCCAGAGCAGTGTTTCGCAGAATCTACCACCGGATCGGAAACGCGACCCACTGAGAATAAGGATAAGGTAGTGGTGCAGTATGATCAACAACATAACGTTACCTACCATGATTGTTATCCACGCGCAATGGTAACAAATTTCCACATTATTAAAACTACTTTTACGAAAATTGTAAACTAATCGAAACGTCGTAAATAAAAAACAGCGAGATTAAACGAGAAAAATATACTGACTTTCCAAATGTTGAACTTTGTACTGAAAATTCTAGTTACCTATACCTACCATAGACGACAGGCTAGTTGTGTAGATGCATAGACCATTCTAAATGTTTAGCATTTAACTTCCTAAATGTATCTTTTTTTTCATTGCTCGTGTAGCTCGCCCACCTGATGGTGAGTGGTTATCGTCGCCCATGGACTTCAGCAATGCCAGGGGCAGAGCCAAAATGAAACTACAATTCAAGGAACCGTGCACGGATCATATATCGGTACTAATTAGTGAGAGTTATTAAAAATCTACGAGTGAATTACATAAAATAAAATAAGAGACAAGGTATGTACCGTCATATTGCCCGCCGGATCGTATGACCAGAGTGGAATTCTTGTATATACGTCGGTTAGTGGCATTGTTTGGGCGATATTCGGGCTCCACGGCGCTAGGTCCGTAAGCCACACGAGTCTGCATGGCCGGTCCGACGTAGCCGGCTTGAGTCTCCCGGGTGATGTCCACTGTTGTCTGCACTGACATCTCGCTCAGACCGGACTTATTCTAAAACAGTGTTTTGGATACAACGCATTGTGGAATACCGCAATGGAAATCTTCCATATATCAAAGCTAGTATTGTTTTTTTGGTTTTAATCCATCAGATCGGACTGATTCGAACGCTTCGACCGGATCTATAGCACTAGCTAGCAGTAGAGAAGAATAAGGAAGATGTGTAGAGAAAATTAGGCAGGAAAATCAGTTCCAAATCTAACGAGTGAATAACGAGGAAGTAATAGGGTTAGCTCAAGGAATATAAGATACATCATGGAAGCTATTCTGGTTTGTTTGTTTGTTTCCTATTGGTCTGGGTGTTTAACGGCTATATATGTACATACATATTTAAGCGTATATAAATATGTATATCGGTCTCTGTTTTCCATGGTACAGTGAATCCTAGTTCAGGACCGGTTGATCGTCTGTGACTCGTCCCTGGTTATTATCATTATTAATACAGATTAAGTGCCCTTGGCTCACGTGTAACGTACCTCTAAGTAACTGAAAAGGGTACACATAGCAACGGCGTCCCTCAGATGGGCTTTCCTCATACCCTTCGCCTCAGCCTCATTCTTCTGCGCCTTCAAATATATAATCGGAGAGAGTAGAAACACTCGTTTGCTTAGTGGTACGCTTTGTGCTATTGCAGCAGAGGCGCCCCGCTGAAACGTTCCTGCCGCCGGTATCAGGATCTTGGATTCACTCGAGCGACGCAGCTCGTCGTAAATAGCTGTGTAGTCGTTTACTCTAAAACATGGGTTAAAGAAACCTAATTTTGGTATAAATTTGCAAAAAACATATCTATTCTAATATATAAATCTACAGTGGTTTTTACGGATGTTTCGTTATAACTACTGAACCATGCTTCCGATTGACTTGAAACTTGGTATCCATGTAGAAAATACATATACCTACTCAATGGATAGGCTAATATTTATATGAGTGTTGGACTCCCTAATAATAATGACAATAAATGATAATGTTAATTTTAAATGCCCAGCGAAGCGGGCGAGTACGGCTAGTTTTATTTTAAATTAGCCCATAAAAGTCCAGTGCTAGATATAGGCTCCCTTCAAGCTTCGCCACAACGACCGGTCCTACGCTGCCTACATCCAGCGGATCCCCTCCAACCACAATAGGTCTGCGGTCCACCTTGTTCCTACAACCACGCTACGTTTTCCGGTACGCGGTCGCCACTCGAGAACTTTTGGCCCCAGTGGTCATTTGTTGTACGAGCAGTGTGTCCCACTGTCACTTTAAAGTCGCAATCCTTTAGGTTTGTCGGTTACCATGGTTTTCCTGCGAATCTCTTAATTTATGATTTGATATCGCAGAGAAACTCCAAGCATAGCCCTCTCCATTGCTGCTTGGGTGACCTTGAGCCTTCTGATAAGGCGCATTGTGGTCGTTCACAAAAACACATCAGTGAATTGCAAATATTTGCCGTGCGTTCATTCTGTCATGAAGCACTAATGCGTTTCTATTTCAATTTCCGTAGGCCCATTTTAGTGGTGCAAATTGGAGTAAAAATATACGAACCTAGTACAGTTATTGGTGTAACAGTTATATACATCCAAAGCTTTTCTGACGGGCATGGAGAGTTTTCCTGGCGGTGCGAACACCCTCACGTCCCGTAGACTAACGATCACGAAAGCCTTCAGCAAAGGCGCGTAGGGCACGTCGCGTCCCCTTACGTTCAGTAACCAAGCCACCTCGTCCAGGGCCGTGATGATTATCGCTTCCGCCCCAACTGCCCGCAGTTCATTACGCACGGCGGATACTTTTTCCCGCCACGACATTCCTGTCACACATAGAGATTTTGTGGTAGACTGAATTGTTTTAACTAAACGAAATCAAATAATAAACGAATTTAAATTATAAATGGTATTTTATGTTCTATAGTAAGTAACATGTCAGAATAACAAGATATTAATTCGCGAAGCAATTGAGTTGTTAGGTCACCTAGGAGGCGCTCGGGCAGTTGTTAGCAAATCCCACACCTCCTGGCTGAGCATTTGCTCGCCCACCTGTTCTGGTGAAACTGGAAAGGCCTTCGGGCCACCAGTAATCTTTCAATCATAAAAAAATAAAAATAAGATAGCAATAGTTATTTCCGCGTGCAAAGAAACGTAAAAGTCACTGAATTTTTTTTTCGGAACGTTGTGTTGGTTGTTTCGATAAACTTAAGTAAGAGGGGCGACGCTAAATCGTGGAGCTGTTTTAATTAACTTAAGAAATAATAAATATCATTAATTAATTTGGTAGTGTGCTTAAATTTAATATCCTGTTTTGTTCCTTGCTTTTTTGTATTATTTCATATGACTGCATAAAATTATTTCATTTTTTACGAACCAATATATTCCATTTGATGTTTGTTAGCTACGATCTTAGAGAATTCTGGTCGTCTTCTCGGTGGGTCGACCTCGTCATTCCAAAGTTGGTCTACCAAGGTCGGAACGTCAATCAGTAGAAGCCCTTCGCGATGAAGGGACGACGAGATAGTTTGCCATTCAACGACTGAGGTCAGCCTGGCATCACCGCCGACCCGGCCTTTGCGACCAAGCCGATCCTAAAAGAAGAAACTTATAAAGGGGATTGCCCACTCTCCATAGTGTGCTAGGCCCAAGATGGACATCAAATATTACTATAAAAATGTACTGATTCAAATTCTTAAATGTATTGGATATCTAAAAAATATATTGAAATTGACGCCACTATTATAAAAAATATAATAAAAATAAAAACTCGTTTTGAGGTTAATTTTCTATATAAATAAGTGTCGGATTGTGAGATACTTCAAGAACTTTTCTTTTCTTAATGTTTAAGATGTTCCTAATGTATTTTTATCCAATAGGGTATAAAAACACACTTAATTCTTTAAATATCTATATTTTCTTCATCTTCATACACAATTAGTATCATCTAAAAATAGCAAAGGAGAGCATATACACGGTTTTAAATCTCGGTCAGGGTAAAACCACAATTCACACAATGTTTTTTAGTCGTAGTATGAAACGTTATTGATAAAAGTAAAATAAATCGAAGAAAAATCAAAACACATCCATTTTGTACGCAAGCACAACACCACAAGCAGCAAGCGAAGTATCAGTCAGTCAGATTAAATTCAGTGTTGTCAGTATAAAGAAAAATAATTACATGAAATTCATATATCGATTATTTTTTTAAATAACCGATAATTGATTTATATCTTAATCTTTTTTTTACGAGTACACATTATTTTTTATGTTTTTGTTTTAGTTGTACATATTTAAATAACAATACTAGTAAAGTTTTTTTTATTGCTTAGATGGGTGGGCGAGCTCACAGCCACCCTGGTGTTGCTAAGTGGTTACTCGAGCCCACATACATCTACAACGTAAATGCGCCACCCACCTTGAGATATAAGTTCTAAGGTCTCAAGTATAGTTACAAGTTAAAGTCCAATGGGTATGTCTTCGATGTTATTTTATGTGCATAAAATCCATTAAAATCGTTTGATTAATGATAATACTTAAAATGATTTATTTATATGTTTTATTTATATACTCAAAATATTTACTTCATACGTAAAAGGATTTGAAGCTGGCAATATTTTTCCCGCAAAAATAAAAATCCTTGTTTTTTCAATAGAGTTACTTTTTTTAAACTACTTATTGTAAACTATAGTGGCGCTTATTTGCAAGAAAGTAAATGCATATTTATTTATGACAAAATTAATGCACTAAGTATTTTTTCTATAATCTATTGTCCGCTTTGGGCCTAAAATGGGCCATCCCCTTTGGCATCCAGAATCTAGATATGCATATTTGTCAATAATAACTTCAGACACAGTATTTCATACATAATTTTCAGTACCCAAAAATAGTACGAAATAGCGAGGAGCTGATCTTTTTTATTTATAGCATGTGTGTGTAAATTAGCTCTCGGTCTATGTGATGGTCATTATCTCAGATAGGCTATCCACCTTCAGACATAGGGTCGGAATCTCATTTGTAAAACGGCTACGCACACACGTCACACTACGCCCCACCAACACGAATTATGCAAATTTATATGCGATTTTAATTTTTATTAAACGATGTCATTCCTGTAGATTGGAAGTCGTTCGGGGATAAGTAGGTGCATATACTTAAGTTACCTATTTCCTTAGATAAAATGGTATCGACATGGGGGATTTGAACTTCGACACAGTCGCTTCACTATTGTACCGAGCGTCTTATCCTTTAGGCTACGACAATTTCCAAAATTCCATAAACTAAACACAATAGCCTACAAACAGGGACAAACTATCTAACTAAACAAAATCAAAATCGAAATGACAGATCTCTTGTTTTCTTACCACAATCCATTCTGAAATAGTACGTTGGCTTGGATCGTCACCATCCAATACTTCCCACGCGCACGACAATGTGGCTCTAGCGTTGTGAACGTCGCCACTTGGCACCCAAATAGCAGCACCACCGTCAGCTAACACGGCAGCGGTACCCGCCCCGTCCCAGCCACTGATGTACTCCAAGCGCCGTTCTTCAGGCGAAGGCTCTTCACTCTACAAAGCGATTCATTTTGTATAATCCGAAGAGGGAACGAAAGAACCATTGTGCATAAAAATCGTTTTATGGCTCTTTTCGATGGGTACAGGCACTTAACATGTATTCACAAACTAATTCCACAAGTAGAAAATAAAACCGTACTTCAAAATCGAAACCGTGAATTTTGTAATTTGCGTAAGTATCATCATCATCATCATCCTAATTTCTACTAACATTAACATCATGTCGCAAGGTGGTAAAATGTGATGTCTATAGTCTCTGCAAGCCTCGTTACCTTAGGGCTGTAAACCTTAATTTTCCCGGTCATCGTTCTCGTCGAACCCGTCGCTTGCAACGAAGGGCTCGACGAGTAAATGAACCCTCAGACACAGCCCACTGAGTTTCTCACCGGATCTTCTCAGTGGGTCGCGCTCCCGATCCGGTGGTAGATTCTGCGAAGCACGGCTCTTGCTAGGGTTCGTGTTAGCAACGTCGTCAGGTTTGAGCCCCGTGAGCTCATTTACTAGTTAAGGTTACGCTGTTATAGCCTCTCAAGGCTCTCAGCTAGATAGAAAAAAAAAACTTAATTTTCTTAGTACCCGCTACTTCACACTAAACTCACCAAATGCTCATCACTAAAAAAAACAATAAATGCATCCAGCAACGTGTCCTTGCGCAGGTATGCCGAGTTCCTTAGTGCGGTGCGGAGTCTTCCCAGTGGTACCGAAGTATTGATGGCGTCAGGACAAACGGGCGCAGTCGTGAAAGTAGCTATTTCATCTAGTACCGCAAATGAAGCGGTGGAGACCACGGGCGCGGGCGGCGGCGTTTGAGTTGTCGTCGTCTGTACCACTTGTTGAGTAATTCGAACCGCACTGTACACTGAAAGTAATTAACTATTTTAAAAAAGAGTCATAGTGTACGCCGGCTCAACGTCAGGTCGACTACAGGGCTGTGAAAAACAACTTCCCAACTGTCCAAATACACGTAGTAGAAGAAATTTACCAAAAAAAATTGATCATGAATCAATCACATTAGGCAAATATATTATCACTTGAAACATTAAACACAGATTTATTTCTTAAAAAAATGTCCTTTTTAATTTCTTTGTTAATGTAAATAATACATACAATGTTAATAAATACAACATTACAACACAGCAGCTATCTTATTTAACCAGCATTGTAAAGTTCATTCATAAATATAGCCCTGAAGATGACATGGTAGAATGAGACAAAATATAGACGTCTCTTTCATTGAGCTAAAAAAGCTCAACCAGAAGGAGAAAGCGGTTAGCGACAAAGACTTTCACGACGCGGGAATGTACCAGGACTCTATAACCATGAAGGAGGTCTATCGAACGGGAACTTGAAAAAGCTCGTCGACAGACAGAGATGCAAAGGAATCAATATCACCCCTCTCCTTTTAGCACGGAGTCCCTAGCGAGCTTTTATTGTAAGGGGCGTTTATATGACTAACGATGAATGAAAACGACCCAGGTTGAAAACCTGTCATTAATTCTATTCCTCTAATGAAATCTAAAAAAAGAACATTTTTAAGAAGTTTTCGTAAAACAAAACTTTATAAAATTACGTATTAAATTATTTGAGATAATACGTTTGAACACAAAGATACCCAACAATGATGGTGTATATAGTTTGTCATGATAAGATTTTAATAGCGTTACCTATCCAGTAAAACTTTTGCGCAGACTCGTCAGAGGTCAACGAACAGCCTGGGGTACCCAAGGGATGAGAATCTTATTGGAATGACGTCAACAACTAACAGGAATACATAGCTGCCGAAGAGTTCTTTCGTCCTTTCTTGAGTTGACTGACTGCATTTGGGTCTCAGTAAAGATCTGAACTTTAAGTTGGCGATCTTGTTGTTTGGCGGTATTTTAACTTATCATGTTTTTAACTGACGCAGCGCAATGCAACGTAAACTAATATTTTGTTTCGTTGTTACCGACTTAAAAGATAAATTAAATACAAATAATTTATTTTCCGTCACTTAAATCTGTTTTTTTCTATATTATTATATCTTTTTTGAAACTGAATTTTGGAAACATAGTTTTCCATTAATGTAATTTGTACATACAGTAACTTGAGTGTTTTTTTATTTTCTGTTAGAGTTAATTTGTAATTTTGATTATGAAATTATTGATCAAAAGAAAAAAATGTTACATTTTTGAGGGTTCCGCAGCTAAAAATTGGAAATTAATATATTCGTTTTGTTTCTTTTTCTTTTTGATAAAATTATACATTCTCTGTTTACTCATTACATTTTTATTAAAATAAGGAAAGAAATTCTAATTTCGTATAGAGTGTACATTTTTTATATATCCGGATTGAAAATATTGGGCATTGTAGAGCTTAAAAAACTATTAAAATTTGTTGTAATGTGCCGTTTTTAAGACACGATTTAAGGTGGCATAAGGTTTAATTATTTTGAGATATAAGCGATATTCGTTTATTCTGACAACGGAACCCTTTTGAGTATGTGTGTGGACCGGTTCTGAAAACATGGAGAATATGCGTCAAACGCAAAAAAATACAAAACGAACTTGAGTGACGAGAAAAAGAGTCCCTTCTTAGGACTGGAACATTCCCAAAGGGACGAAATATCCTGCGAACTACCAGGACTGCATAAAGCGAAAGAACTATTACGTGTCGCGTCGTCCTGTACAAGGATATTCAAGGATAAGGCAATGACCGGCCGACCGCAACGTGATCGCTGCAACGTGCAGCGGTTGTTCCCCCGCGACTGCATGTGACTGCATCGTGTTGCAATATGTAGGTATTATATGATGCAAAAATACAGAGAGGAAACTTGTTTCAATTGAAATTTGTTTTTTTGTAACAAATGCTATTTTAATTTAAAAAAAATATATTCATCTTTTATCATTTCATTCATATTTTAGAAATTTAATTAATGGACCAGCATTTAAAGAAGAAGTCATTCATAATAAATACTCGTAAATATCAAAATCAATTGTGAGTACACTTATCAAATCAATGTTTGAAAATTATTAATCATTTTATATCTAAACAATTGTTTGAGTTGATGCCGAAGTATAATTCTTGTCATTTGTTTGCTTACCAATTGGCCTACATTGAGGAAGAAAATATAAAAAGAAAAAATTACAACGTCCAATCCAAATTTTTTTTGTCTATCAAAGCTCTATTTTTTAATAATATCTAAAATTTGTGAATATGTATTTAAGAATAGTAATAAATTCTAACATCTTCCTGCAAAGACCGGCTGGCTCAAACTTGGTAAAGTTTTTCCCAAGTAACACAAAGAAGCGGTGTTGTCGTCAGTCACAAACTAGTTGTAACTTTCCCGTGTTATTCATCAGGAGCGCATGAACACGAAGATGTGAATTTCACATGTAAGCCTTACCTTTATTTCTCCACCTTCCACGTGTTGAGGAAGGTTAATGATTTCACACATTCAGAGTTAAGGATACAACATGTAAAGCGCCTAACACGCGCACATCCCTGTTCTACATTTATTTATGAATAAACGAAAATACCTAAAGATTTTTTTCACTAACGACTTTTGATTTACCTAATTTAGTTGCGTGAAAAAAGTGCGTGTGCGTATCAAAGAACAATGGTTTGCCCCCTTTTTGTACCAGGAGAATATAGGTCGCAAAGAGCTGTATTATTCCAGCATCCCAAAAAGGATCTCTGTGTGGGTAGCTTTGGGCGGAGCCTGATCCTTTGAAAGTAAGGGAATGTGAATGGGGTTGAGAGCGAAACTGCTCGTGACGTCAATTTTTACCAGGATCACATAAATGCTAAGGGGTTGTAAAAGCTTTTAAAGTTTTTTAAGGCGTACGTACATACTATGAAATATTTCGGTACGTGTGGGTTCCAAATTTTATTTTAAATCTAAAATTCAAAGTATATTCGCCAGTGTGTGTATGCAAGCTGACCACCATAACTGGATTTTTTTAATTATATTTTGGTCATTATGTGGTCGCAGCAACGTTTTAAGAATCTGTATTATCTTACTAAATCTTTAAAAAATCCCAAAGCTTAAAAAGAAATACTTATTTATATTTTCACCACGTATTATTTTCTACCAATCTAAGCCTGCCCTTTTAATAAATAGATCTAGACAAGTACCAGGCGTACTAATTTATGAGGAGGTAACTGAAATTCAAATGAAGTATTAGGTGCCCATAACGTATTTAGAGATAGATGTACATAATAAAAGGATAAGTTTAGTTGTACTTTTAATTTATGATCACGCAACACAATGATGAAATTGAATTATTTTTTACTCTTTATATTTCAAATATATTTTTGCTATAAATAGCGTCTTTATTACATATTTACCAGGACACACTTGTCGTTGCAATTGTTAGCGCAAAATATTTTTTGTCCATCTTTTTCATTGCACTTCAAGCTTCGACAGCTGGTTACTTACATCAAAGCGTACCACTCAAAAATGTGATCTATGCAGCTATATAATTATGAGGTGATGTAGGTAGGCCATCGTGCCATAGGATCTCAAATGCATGCTATTTTATATGATCTGTTCTGTATCAAACAAAAGAGGTTGCGAGTAGACTTTTGGCGGGAATTTTTAGTGAAGTTTTTTTGTTTTTTTTTTTTTTTTTGTATCAGATTCGTGTGTAATAATAGCGAACTATTGACCATTTAATATTTGAGACTGGGGAAATGGCTTCTTGGAATCGATGCAGTTGATTAATTAGTGAGTAACTACATTTTGTAAAACTTAAAAAATAATTAATGGCCGTTATTAAAAAAGAAGTTGAGTCCTCCTCAGACTGCTGTTACTTGTTCTAATCATCTTTTCGTTATAATAATAATTCCTTTTTTTAATTACTGGAAGTGATCAAACGTGCTCACGGCCTATCTTGTGTAAAGTGATAGGATTAATAGAATGCACCAAAATATGTAAGACCCACTTGAGTTATATTTTAATGAAGCTTTAATTATATTCTAATAGCGCAGAAATATACACGATCTATCCATTGCATACTAAGGGCATAATTATATCACAAAAATATCCGTTATTTTATTTCATAAACGCGCGTAAAATGTTTCCTACAAAACGAATGACTGCATTCGAGTATTCGTTCGTAAACATTATTAAGTCTGTCACTGTGTGAGAAAAGTTATTATGAGAAGCCTTCCATGTGTGCTGCTTGAAAAGAGACCGATATAGATTTCGCCTTCACAAAACGCAAATTTATCTGTAGCTCTTACATTTAGTATTTTATCCATTATCGTTGAAACACAAGTTTCATTTTCAAGTCGCAGATGGCTCTGCTTAAACTGGTCGAGAAGTACAGAGCGGTTATCTAGGGCAATGCACTTCTTATGTTTTATGCTCTCCTGGTGCATCACTGGGTTTTGACGCATGTCACTGCGTCAAGGGGACGTGTGTGAGAAGACAGCTTTGTTTCATTCACGTGCCTCTCTTATCTGTATTCGACAGAATATCGCCGTGAACGTGATGGGCCTCTCAACATTTTCATAGCAGTGTGACTCTGCTTCTTATACAGTTATTTAGTGTATGTGTTACTAATCGTACGGTTGTGGGCACAGGTTGTGGACAAAGGTGAATTTATGTGTGCATTTCACAATTCTCACACGCGTATAACTATTATTACAGACTTTCTGAAGTTTATACTTCTAAAAGTATTTTTTTAATGATCTAATTGTATTTCATAAACGATTGCAGAAAACAAGATCCGTTTTTTGTATATGTTTAAGTTCAAATAATGAAGTTTATTACCGACAACTCTACACCCATATGAACAAAATAAAGATGTGTACACATTGTAGGTGAGGCCCACACATGATTACAGCCAGTAAAGGGTTGCACATGTGAGCTACATG